TATGATGGAGTATGATGGAGTATGATGGAGTATGATGGAATATGATGGAGTATGATGGAGTATGATGGAGTATGATGGAGTATGATGGAATATGATGGAGTATGATGGAGTATGATGGAGTATGATGGAATATGATGGAGTATGATGGAGTATGATGGAATATGATGGAGTATGATGGAGTATATTTAAAACTGTCTTAAAAGATGAAAGTGGAGCGACAGGCTAAAACATCCGTTTCTCTTCCTGTTCCTCTCAAACCCAGCCGTTCGAAGATGGTCGCTTGTCCTGAGCCTGGTTGGAGGTTTCTTCCTCATGCGGGAGTTTTTCCTTTCCACTGTCGCCACATGCTTGCTCGATTCTGCGATGAAAACTCAAAGCGGTCTGCTCCTCAGATAATGTTAGCTTACCTTTTATGTATATGAATGTTTCTGTATAGTGCCCTGAGATGACTTCTGTTGTGACTCACTGAATTTACCACAACAATACAGAACAAAAGGTGTTTTATATTTGGAATCACTGAAAATCTGATTAAAGTCGAGGAAATCTAAGGAACAACTTGTAATATCAGTTCTGAACAATGTAAAAGTTTGTTTATTTATTTATTGTGGTATACTTTCTGCACTTTGTGTTCAGTAAACAAGTTTATACTTCTTTAAAACTTTGTGTTTTAAACTTTGAACATTTTTGACCAACTCCTTTTTTAAATTTTCCCTTCCGGGCCACCGTAGCTCCCCTAATATTCCTCTTAAGAGCGTTTTTTCGTTTGTTTGGAGGCCGCAGCCTGGGTGTTGTCGCCCGGTGCGAGGATCTGTGGAACGGATCAGTCTCCGGAGCGGGCCCCCTCCCCTCCCCCGGTGGTCGGCTCGGATACAGGGGCGGGGCAGCACTGCAGCAGCCGCCGTCTCCCGTGAAGCTCCACCCGCCCCTGCTTCCAGACAGGTGGTCGAAATATCCGCCTTCGTCCTCGAGCGCTCCTCGCTAGAAAACAAAACGAGAAAAAACCAAACCTGCCGACTGCACGAGGAAGAGATAAGAGCCGGGGGGAGCGCGTCCCCGATGGACTTCCAGCGTGTGACCTCCGCGGACACCGGGCGGACAGCGGGAGAGGAGCGGGGCAGCAACCGGACCGAGGCGCAGCGCATTCCTCCAGAGCATCGCGCCGCCGAGCGGAGAGGATCCGCCCGCTGAGGAATGACATGTTCCGCCGGTGAAGACCGCAGAGACGGAACCGGATTGAGGCGGGGAGCGGAGACAGGAGTGCATTTCTGACAATTATCCTCCCATCTTGGGAAGTTCCCCTGGGAGGAGGAGGAGGGACGCAGCGGGGTTCCATCATGGCTTCGGGCGCCGGTAAGGCTGCTCAGTCCCCCGGGTCGGGCTCCGGCAGCCTGAACGGAACTGCGGCAGAGTTCCCCAACATCGAGCAGGAGCTCTACGACTACCAGATGCACGGCAAGATGTGCAAGAAGATCGCTCAGCTCACCAAGGTGAGAGCCCGCCATCCATCCCTGCATCCATGCATCCATCCATCCCTACATCCATCCGTGCATCCATCCCTACATCCATCCCTGCATCCATCCCTACATCCATCCGTGCATCCATCCCTACATCCATGCATCCATCCATCCACCATTCATCCATGGTTTCATCTGTGCATCCATTCATACATCTACCATCCATCCCTACATCCATCCTTATATCCATCCATCCATTTACCATCCATCCATGCATCCATCTGTACATCATCAATCCATGAGTTCATCTGTGCATCCATCCATACATCCATGCATCCATCTGTACATCCTCCATCCATGATTCCATCAGTGCATCCATCCATGCATCCATCCATACATCCATCCACCATCCATCTGTACATTCATCTGTGCATCCATCTGTACAGCCATCTACCATCCATCCATACATCCACCATCCAGACATCCATCTACCATCCATCCATCCATACATCCATCTACCATCCATCCATCCATGCATCCATCTGTACAGCCATCTATCTACCATCCATTCATCCATCCATCTATGCATCCATCTGTACAGCCATCTATCTACCATCCATTCATCCATCCATCCATCCATCCATGCATGCATCCATCTGGACATCCATCCACCATCCATCCATCTATGCATCCATC